GGACGGCTGAGGCGCAGGGCGAGCCGAGGCTGCGGGCCGTTTGCGTGCGGCTGTCCCCGCGCTCCCGACGGCCACCAGGCCAGTCCTTTGTGGACAGCCGAGCGTGCCCGCCACGGCCTCACTCCCGGACGGCGGGGCCGGAGCTTGGGAAAGGACTGGGTGCGGGGCAGCGGCGGCCGCGGGGTCGGGCGCGACTCGCGTAAACACCAAATACGCGGAAACGCAAACTGTCAGTCACCTGGTCGTTGGTGCCGCGTTGAAATGATAATGTCTCGGATGTAGAAGGTATAGTCACAGTTAATTTCACCTCATTCTAGAGTGTGGCTGCTAGAAAACTCTAGACTACCCCTGTGCGCCCGTTCGCAGCCCTCCTCACCTTTCCGCCGGGGGGCGCGCGTGGCTGGCGACCTTGGCTCAGGCGACGTTAACCCGCGCTCCCGTGAGCCTGGTGCGCGGGGAACCTCGTCGGCCGGGAGCCTCGTCCGCTTCTGGTCTGCCCGCAGCCGGGACTGTGCCCGGCAGGCAGTAAGCGTGGCGACCGTTGAGATGAAATGAAATATCTCCCCAGTGTAAGTCTACGAAGAGCAGAGCGAGGGAATGTACTTCTTAAACTGAGTTAGCTTTGGGGGTCATGCAGCTGTTAGACTTTGCATTTTGGCTTGCCGGATTTTAGCTCGGGAGAAACACTAACACACCCTGCTCCTGTTGGTCATTTGGCCCTGCTGTGGTCAGGCCAGCTGCAGCTAGGAATGCTGTGGAGGTGAAGTGTTCACACTGCCCTGAGGAAAGAGGACCCACTGAAGCAGGAAAAATACCCTAATTACCACAAAAGGGTTAGCACTTCACTAACACTGGACGCCTCTTTGCAAAGACATTTCAGATCCTTAGTACCAGGGCTGAGACAAGAGGTGCTCATCTTCCCTGGGTTCAGGTTTCCAGACACATCTCTGGGTTTCAAGTCACTCCCTGAGGTCTCAGGCACCCCCTCTGGGCCCTCCCCTAGAGGAGAGTTACTGTGGCTTGTTGGACCTATTTTGGGCACCAACCTGGGAAATCGAGACCTCAGGGGGTTGACTTATGCAAATCCACTGGGTGGACATGCTCAGTAGAAAGGGGTTATGTAATCATGATAGCCAGGCACGCTCTGTCAAATGGAGTTTATATTCCCTAGGTAGCATGAATAGGTAGCAGAAATACGTATTAGACAGCAAATCTATAAAAGCTGAATCCTAGCAGAAGGCAGAGTTATTGCTNCAGCGGCGGCCGCGGGGTCGGGCGCGACTCGGCGTAAACACCAAATACGCGGAAACGCAAACTGTCAGTCACCTCGTCGTTGGTGCCGTGTTGAAATGATAATGTCTGGGATGTAGAACGTATAGTCACAGTTAATTTCACCTCATTTTTGAGTGTGGCTGCTAGAAAACTTCAGACTACCCCTGTGCGCCCGCTCGCAGCCCTCCTCACCTTTCCGCCCGGGGGCGCGCGTGGCTGGCGACCTTGGCTCAGGCGACGTTAACCCGCGCTCCCGTGAGCCTGGTGCGCGGGGAGCCTCGTCCGCCTCTGGTCTGCCCGCAGCCAGGACTGTGCCCGGCAGGCAGTAAGGGTGGCGACCGTTGGGATGAAATTAAATACCTCCCCAGTGTAACTCTACGAAGAGCGAGGGAATGTACTTCTTAAACTGAGTTAGCTTTGGGGGTCTTGCAGCTGTTAGACTTTGCATTTTGGCTTGCCGGATTTTAGCTCTGGAGAAACACTAACACACCCTGCTCCTGTTGGTCATTTCGCCCTGCTGTGGTCAGGTCAGCTGCAGCTAGAATTGCTGTGGAGGTGAAGTGTTCAGACTGCCCTGAGGAAATAGGACCCACTGAAGCAGGAAAAATACCCTAATTACCACAAAAGGGTTAGCACTTCACTAACACTGGACGCCTCTTTGCAAAGACATTTCAGATCCTTAGTACCAGGGCTGAGACAAGAGGTGCTCATCTTCCCTGGGTTCAGGTTTCCAGACACATCTCTGGGTTTCAAGTCACTCCCTGAGGTCTCAGGCACCCCCTCTGGNCCTCATTCTAGAGTGTGGCTGCTAGAAAACTCTAGACAACCCCTGTGCGCCCGCTCGCAGCCCTCCTCACCTTTCCGCCCGGGGGCGCGCGCGGCTGGCGACCTTGGCTCAGGCGACGTTAACCCGCGCTCCCGTGAGCCTGGTGCGCGGGGAACCTCGTCGGCCGGGAGCCTCGTCCGCTTCTGGTCTGCCCGCAGCCGGGACTGTGCCCGGCAGGCAGTAAGCGTGGCGACCGTTGAGATGAAATGAAATATCTCCCCAGTGTAAGTCTACGAAGAGCAGAGCGAGGGAATGTACTTCTTAAACTGAGTTAGCTTTGGGGGTCATGCAGCTGTTAGACTTTGCATTTTGGCTTGCCGGATTTTAGCTCGGGAGAAACACTAACACACCCTGCTCCTGTTGGTCATTTGGCCCTGCTGTGGTCAGGCCAGCTGCAGCTAGGAATGCTGTGGAGGTGAAGTGTTCACACTGCCCTGAGGAAAGAGGACCCACTGAAGCAGGAAAAATACCCTAATTACCACAGAAGGGTTAGCACTTCACTAACACTGAACGCCTCTTTGCAAAGACATTTCAGATCCTTAGTACCAGGGCTGAGACAAGAGGTGCTCAGCTTCCCTGGGTTCGGGTTTCCAGACACATCTCTGGGTTTCAAGTCACTCCCTGAGGTCTCAGGCACCCCCTCTGGGCCCTCCCCTAGAGGAGAGTTACTGTGGCTTGTTGGACCTATTTTGGGCACCAACCTGGGAAATCGAGACCTCAGGGGGTTGACTTATGCAAATCCATTGGGTGGACATGCTCAGTAGAAAGGGGTTATGTAATCATGATAGCCAAGCACGCTCTGTCAAATGGAGTTTATATTCCCTAGGTAGCATGAATAGGTAGCAGAAATACGTAAGACCTCAGGGGGTTGACTTATGCAAATCCAGTGGCTGGATATGCTCAGTAGAAAGGGGTTATGTAATCGTGATAGCCAAGCATGCTCTGTCAAATGGAGTTCATATTCCCTAGGTAGCATGAATAGGTAGCAGAAATATGTGTTATACAGCAAATCTATAAAAGTTTAATCCTAGCAGAAGGCAGAGTTATTGCTCACTTTCCCGGAGCCAACCCACACCTCTCAGGCTGAGGTGTGCATGCTTTCTTTTATATCAAACTTACTTTTGGCAAGTGGCTGCTCACTCTCTTAAGCCAGCATGCACTCTACACTAGACTTTAAGTGTGTATTTCTTACTTTGGTATGAAACTTGGTGCAGGCCCTGCTCAGTCTCTGCAGGTAGGCCACACCTTGTGAAATCTGTAACTCTTATTCGTTACATTAAACCTGTTCTCACTTTCTACTGTGACTGCCCTTGAATTCTTTCCTGTGGTGGAGTCAAGAACCTGGTAAGAAGAGGACAGGGTGGGTTGAGACTGGCTAGCAGACGCCGCAGACCCTTCCTCCAACATTGGGACTACTTTGAATTACTTGGTTATCAAGTAACAGTGTTAGTAAGAAAGTGATGTGTCTAATCCCGTCTCCCTCCAGCCACTCCCAGTCCTCCTCATTCCTCCCCATTCCCCTGACACCAGCTGGTCTCTAGAAAGAGCAGGCACGTGTATATGTGTATTTTTTGCACTTTCTGAAATGTTCAACACCTAGGCTGTAAGGAAGCCGAATACATTTTGACTGTGATATGCCCTAGAGATTGCCTTCTAACAGTCCTGGCCCCTTCAATGAAAGCTCACTGGAAGCTCACAAATCTTCCAGAAAATAAAGCCACTTCACCAGAGAGGAACACTCTGCCTCTGCCTAGCTTCCTAATTCAGAGTCCCATTCAGTTCCCTTCTCTAGACTCACCCACTACCCTCCTATTCAAAGCCTGTGTTCAGAATTCCTTGAATTTAGTGAGTGTGATCCTTTACTTTGATACGTGAATTCTGAGCACTTTCCCCCAACTCAAACACTTCCAAGACAGACCAAATTTTTGCCATATGTCTTTGAAGAAAGACTGTATGAGCAAAGTGAGACAAAGTAAGCTCAAATATTTGGAAAAAAGACAGAATCTGCTTCTGTGGAAATGTAAAAAATCTGTCCAGAGTATGTCCAACCCTCTCTAAAGCAGTGATCACATGACCTCTAAAAGTCCTTAACAGCTGGTATTTTATGCTTTTGTTCTCTTAAACCAAATTGCCTACACTGTTCTGTATGTTTTGCATGATTTGGCGAACTTCATGAAGCCAGGGATCATTCCCTCTCTTAGTTCTTAATCCCTCAATACCTGGTTCAAAGGCACAATCCTTCTGAGAGCCCTCCAGGGAGGCAGGTGCACAGCTGTCCAGCTGAACTGTCCCATGAGCCCATGCCACTGTGGCCAAGTCACTTAACCTCACAATCACTCACATTCCTCATCTTCAACAGAGGTTACATGGCAACATGTAAGAAGCCAGCCTGGGCTTTCAAGATAAAGTACATAACCTAGGCACACAATAGGTATTCAAAAAACAGTAAATTTATTATGCTATTTGCCAGTGTCAAACAGGAGGTGCTTGGAGGTACAGAGTGAACCTGTCTGAGCTGTGGACTGCAGGAAAGGAGACCATTTTTGGAGAACTTTCCGTGGAAGCCTGTCACAGGCCTCCTCTTGGGCCTGGAGAAGGCAGGAAAGTGAAGCCTGGTTGTCAGGCAAGCTCGGAGAAGCACACTAGATTTCCCAGTGTCACACAAACAAAGTGAGTGGGTCAGTTTCAGCAAATGTTGGTTTATTACCTTAGGTCATTGGCGTTTACAAGGCAAAAGGGAGACATGCAGGGGGCTTCCAAGCAGGTGCACAGACTGGTGCACACGATACCCCAGGTGCGGAAGCACTGCAGACAGACGGGTGCATCCGCTTATGCAGAATGTAGCACCATTTCCCGGGGAGAGGAAAAGCACATGGGCCCTGAACCAAGCTCTCTGCCCCCAACCCCACCCCCAGACTTCTAAGATCAGTGTTGAGCCCCGGCTTCCCTCCAGCAAGGCCATCTTCCTCACTCACGTCCCTGAAAGGTCAGGGGAGACTTCTGCCAGCTGATGGCCTCATCCTGTTACTGTGGCTTTTCTTCTTCCTCTCCCCCTGGGGGCCTGGGGACCACACTCTGCCTTTCTTCTTCGTACCAGGCCCTCGCAATGTGTTCCTGCTGCTTGTGGGAGAAGCTGGCTTGTTGGAGAAGCCTTTCCGAGATGAGGCCTGGGGTGGGCTAGATGATTTTCTAGCGGCTTTCTCTGACTGCTTCTTTAGCAAGTCCAAGACTGTCTCTGGGAAGTAAGCATTTGTTCAGTGAGAAATACAAGTCCTGGGAAGGACTATAAGGGAAAGCACCCCCAGGAAACCAGTAACTGTATGAGCACTCTTTAATACAAATTTCTGTTAATTAATATTTCTAATTCCCTTAACTGGTCTTCATCTAAATATATTACTTTTGTAATAGGGTCACTTGGGTGATACATGGCTCTGGGATAGTTCCCTTGATATAGAGTCCCTCCTCTATAAGTATTCCCCACCTACCCGGAGGAAGAAGTCCCACTGCAGGGGTTCTCAGTGCTCTGGCACCCTTCTGTACCAGAACCTCAGTGCCACATTTATTTCTTTACCTGTCTGCACTACCCATCCCTCCCATTCAACCCTGAGCTACTACAGGTCAGAGACTTTAAGTGTTCATTTCTGTATCCACAGGGCTTACTTTGTGCCTGTGACAAAGTAAGTACTAAATGAATGATGCCAAATAAACAAACACATGAATGATTCAATGAATGAATGACTAGAGGACAACAGGTCACAGTAGAAGCAGTGTCCCTCCCACTCACTTGGTATGCAGAGGAGGTGTGTAGAATGAGCCACAAGTAAAAGACAACCCATAAAGGAGAGAAACCAAGCCCCTCCACCAGGGGACCGAGCGTGTGCCTCCACACCCAGGCCTGAGCCTTATACTCAAAGACAGACTCACTGGCGAGTGGCCGGAACTGGATCCGCTTACTCTTGGTTTTCACTGGCACTGGCTTGTATTTGCACTTGCCTGGAGGTGCTCGCTTAGAAACACAGACAGAAAGGTTGAGGACACAGACTCTGATGATGCGAGCAGGAAATCAAGGTCACCAGAAGGCATACATTTGCAAGAATTGGGGTCAGCCCTCACTCATCCATGGGGATGGGGTAGATGTAGTAGGAAATACACCACGAGCTCAGGGGGAGAGGAGAAAGGGCCTCAGGAGACAGTGCAGTGAGGGGCTAGGAGCATGGTGCCAGACAATTGGGTTCAAATCCTGGTGACCAGGGGCAAGGAAACCCTGCAAAGTTTCAGTTCGCACATCTGTAAAATGCAAGAAATAATACTATCCATCTCGTGGGGAGATGGCGAAGATGAAATGAGAGCTGTGTATCTGGCACACAGCAGTGACTGACAGAAATTAAAAAATACTTGGAACAGCGCCCAGCACATAACAAGTGCTCAGATGATGATGATGATGATAATTCTGCTGCTTTTGATGGTGCTGCTGGCAGTGGTGATTCTCTTTAAAGAAAATTCCTTCAAGAACTCATGGCACAGTCCTTAGCCCACTCATACTTAAACTGCTTGTGCCCTGACTGCATCTTCTGACATAAAAGGGACTCTGGAGGCTGAGAGCACTCCTGCTATGCAGAGCAGAGCTGGGCCTTCTTGACAGTCCCTACAGCCTTCTCTGCCTTGCTCTGATGCCATCTCTCACTGCCATCACCCCCACCCCAGGAGGACAAAAAGGTAATATTATTATTATTTAGTATTATATTTATTCTACAAACACAGTTCTATACACTTTATAAAATTAGCTCATTAAATCTTCATAACAACCCTATGAGATAAATACTATTATTATCCCCATTTTTCAGAGGGGAAACTGAGGCACACGAAGGCTTAGAAACAGGCCCCAGGTAACAGGAAGGGCAGGAGGAAAAGATGGGAGGGACAAATGATGCATAAATCAGTCAATTGCCCCTCAGACGCTGAGACTGGTACCTTAGTGCACAGACGGGCGAGTGAGTGAGCTGGCAGAGTCTGGTCCACGGCTACAGAAGCTTGAGGAAGGCTGCGTGACTCCGTGTAATGACACTGAACTGAGTGGGTAGTAGTGCCAAGATGACTTAGATCCACGAAGAGAACTGAGCTCTGATCCTGGACACTCTCTTACCGGCTGTGCCTTGGGCGAGTAATTTAACTTGCCAAGGGTTCGGTTTCCTTATCAGTAGATTGAGGAAGTTAACCCCTGCCTCATTGGGATTCTATCAGCATGAAATGACAGCTACAAACAGCACTTAGCATAGGGCTGGCATGCAGAATAACTCAATAAATGTCAATCTGAGAAAAAGGTGAACGAGCAAAAATGTCCTCGGTGTGGAAAGGCCTCTATAGTTGCTTTCTGTATGGCCTCTCATGACTGCTCTTGTGAAAGAGGGGAGTTACATTATAGCCCAACGAGATCAAGCAACTGCCAAAGGAAAGAAAAGTGGATTCACACAGGAAGCCATTAGTGGAAAGAGTGGAACTCCTCCCCCAGGCATTTCAGCCATCAGAAGCACACTGCAGACCCTGGGGCTGCTGCCTCCCCCAAGCACCGGGCAGACACAGCAGTGGAGACAGCCCAGTACCAAATTCACACCTTGGCAATCCCTGCTCCACTATCAGCAGAGCACCCCAGGCACAGCCTCAGGGACTGAGCCTCTTCCAGGAACTTCTGAGAACACACAA